GGCAATTTATTTTATTATGCAGTTGCAGATATATATAAAGAACATCATAATTGAACATAATAACAGAAAAAAACAATTAACAAAAATATCTAAAAATCTCCTGCTTTAATCTTGCTAATTTAAAACTCAAAACCTTAGAGGTAGCTGCTGTTGACACAATCTTAACAGAACAATCTCTCGTATTGGGGAGATTAAATCAGTAAGTCTTCAACTCTATGACAGACATCATGTATTTATTTGAAGGATAAGCATGCAAGCATTGACAGATTCAAGCTTCTCTTGAACAGAGACAGTTATATCTTGTCAGGGACAGACACAACTCACTCCACTTTCACTTTGTGTGAAGGTTATTTACCTGATTAGTGAAAAAGAAGCACGCATTAATGGAACTGGAGATTTTACAAGGAATGGAAGAATCCACCTCTGTTGTTTTCCACTTTGGAGTTTATAGACTACCATTAGTAATTCAGCTATGTCACCCTTAAGTTCCCTTTAGGGTCTTGGGTGAATAAGTTCTCCATACTTTGCTAGTGACCATTCTGTGTAGCTGGGGTTGAAGCATCTATGATCAAGTTTATGACACACAGACATCTCTGCAGAATCCTCCCTTGCATACCCACACCAGAGCATGCCAGTTTCCCCTACAGTAAACCCCAATGCATTTCTACTCTCTTTCTTGCACATTTACATTATGGTCCTGCTTAGTTCCTCTTCAGGCTCTACTTTGCTCTTTCTAAATCTGTTTTAACAATTAATTGGCCATCTGTGTGATGCTTTCTAGTTTGTTTGGATACATTTCAGGTTTTGAAGTTTGGTCTCTCATTCCTAGTAACCTTCATGCTGTTACTTAGCCATGTTGATTTCCTGCAATGCTCCTGCAAGCCTATCCTAATGGGTGACAGGCACCGGTACTGTCTGATCTGTATACCTCCAGAGCCTGAAAGCATTTCACCTTTTACATACCTTTTATCTTTTTTAACATAAATGAGAAAGCTTGTTATTCATGACCTCTTTTAAGTCAGTAAAGCTGTGGTGTCTGTGTTTGGCCTTTTCTGATAGTATAGGAACAGCTACCAAGAACATACCCATCCCCGGGACTGGTGCAGAGTTATTGTCACTTTATGCCCTCTTTGGAAGGATCAATGGGAGTAAACGCAGCTGTTCTGCAAAACCTCTACAATGAATTTTCAAGGGAAAACAGTACTGCTAAGCTACAACTTACCTGAGCAAGAGTGTAATGATCTAACTTACAGTAATGAGAATTTTTAATTTGATACCAGAAACTGGAATGAACAGATGAGGTCATATTTCAACTACTGAATGTAATATTCACTGTTACTATCAGGAGGCACTTGTCTATAAGGACTAAATGCCATTACTGTTATTTATCATAAGGAAATTATTAGAAAAACAAACAAACAAACAAAAAAAAACACAAAGCAATGCACAACAGCATTAGGGAATTTACAGAATAACAAAAAATCCACATATTGTCTGGATAGTGTGTGTGGGGGTGGGGTGGGGAGAGAGGAGTCCATTTTCTAAAGAGGCCAGCTTATTTGCTCATTAATAAATACTTATTTAGCATATGTAAGACAGAAAATCTATATTTTTAATTCTATTAGCTTTGTGCTACCTGTCTTGTTAGGTTTTTTTGCTCCTTCTGTAATTCACATTGCCCAGTACCTGGGTTTATTACAGAAGTATAGGAGGTATATTGCCATCTAGATAAAATGCTTTAAATGGGAATTTGCTTTGAGCTATATTTCAAGCTCAAACATGGAAAAGTGGAGATCTTGATGCGTTACTTATATCAGGGTACTGTTTGTGATTCTGGATACCAATTTGAAAGATATTAATTTTTGTTGCTTCCACTTGACAGGTAAACTTTTCTGCTATAACTGCATAAGAAAGCTTGAGAATCTGCACAGTAAAACCTAGTAAGACTATGTGCTACTTCTAGATCTCCTCCCAAGGTAACCTAGACTGATCTGAATGACTGAAGGGCATGAGTTCCTAGAGAGTCCCAGTACATTTTGAGTCCCCCTCTGCATCATCCCCTTTCGTCTACTAGTTATAAAGAGACTGTACAGGAATAAGGATCTCAGGGTCAATGTACATATTCTTACATAAATATTAGTGTGCAATCAGAGCCTTTCTCCCTCTATTTGGCTTGAAACTTATATTTTAATCTTCCCTAAAAAACATTAGGTCTCATTTCTTCAATATTTAAAAGTTTTTTTCATTGATTCTTAGATTTCAGAGTTACCCTTCAAATTTGCGCACAAGATGCTCTACTTATATTTTGTGATATAAGTAGATATATTTTGTGAATAAACAGAGAATTTCAAAACAGGGCTAACAGTTTGCACTGGGTAGCAATAAACATGCATTTTGAGCTACTTCAAAATATAAAAGCAATAAGAAGCTCTAGAAAAGAAAGAAAGAGAATTGGGGTATTTTGATCCACTACCAGTAATAAAATAACTATATTTGTTTCCGTAATGACCTGACCTGTTGCCTCAACAGTCACTCTCAATAACAATTCACAACTCATGCACATCTACTTCACCACTATTTCATTTACCAGAATTGAAGCAACTGAGAATAATCATTATGAAATAATAAAATATCCCTAAGAAACCCCAAACAAGGCTGAGAATAAGATTCAGGGTTTCTATTTGCTGATAATGTAACTTTAGAACCGATTTCATTACTTTATTTAAAAAATGGGTATAATCCAATTGAATTAATAAAATTCTTTTTCCTCTATAACCAGAAACACAGTATCCTTTTAAATAGGAAATAGTTTTCTTTTTTTTTTTTTTTTTTCCTTCCCCCTGCCTACCCCCAAGGAGTGGAATAAGAGGAAAAAAAAGGGATGAAAAAGAAAACCATCTTCCATTTGCTTACATTACATGCAAAGGGCCATACTTCCCTCAATACTACAACATGCAGTTGCACCTGTATCTGTTATTTTTTTTAGCTTCTCAAACGATTCTTAAATTTTACATGATTTTTCTACAAAGATGACAGTTGGCAAACAACATATAAAGTGTTTCTGAGTCCTTTTGCACATGAAGTATGCTATAGGCAAGAACACGCTCAAAAAACAATTTAAAAAAAAAAGAAAACCACAAAATTTCCCCCAAAGCCCCACACTCATCCTTCTGCCTTGTTGCTAATACATACAGACTTCATAGACAAGGGAGCTCCTCCAGATTTAAGCCATCACTACAGCTTTTGTATTGGTTCTGGCTGAGATGGAGTGATTTTTCCCTGTAGCAGCCCTCATAGTGCTGTGCTTCATATTGGTATCTAGAAAGGTGTTGAGAGCACACCAGTGTTTTGGCTACTGCTGAGCAGTGCTTACACAGCCTCCAGGTTGTCTCTCCAAAATTCTACCTCCAACCAGTAGGCTGGGGGTGGGCAAGATATTGGGAGGGGACATAGCCAGGATCGCTGACCCACACTGACCAAAGGGATACTGCATACTTTATGACATCTTCTCAACAATAAAAGCTAAGAGAAAGGTGGAGGAGGGGAGAGCATTCGGTATTATGATGTTTGTCTTCCAGGGCCACCACTACACAAACTGAAGCCCTACTTCCCAGGAAGTGGCTGGATATCACCTGCTGACGGGAAGTAGAGAATAAATCTTCTGTCTTCCTTTGCTTCCATGCACAATCTTTGCTTTTGTGTTATTAAACTACCTTTATCTTGACCCACATTTGTTTCCACCTTATTTTCTCCCCCTCCTGTCCTGCTGAGGAGGGGAGTGATGGAGCGGCTTGCTGGGCACCTGGCATCCAGCCAGGGTCAACCCACCACAGCTATCAGCCCAAACCATCCAATTAATCCTTTTAAAAGACCCATCACTAAGTTATATTTTGAAAGCAAACATTTTCTGGAATTTATGTTGAAAAGAAGAATCACTTTCAATGTGGACCTCCTACACATGGGAGCAAACATTGCCATTGTGGCAACTCAGTGAGTGTCAGTAGTCTAGTACAAGTAACGTCCTAAACCTGGATACCAATATAAGATCTGAAGCTGGAATTTTGGCAATACAAAATTACTGGTGCTCTTTTTCTTAGAAAATATTCACAGGATAATTGCATGCTATTTATCATATATACTTTTTAATTTACAGATACCAAGAAATTACTGAAACTTAAAACATTTGTAGTTTTATGTTAAAAAGCATTAGACCTGCCTCCAAGAAATCTAGACTTACATCCACACTCTTTCCCTGCTTGCCATATGGCCTTGGTTAAGTCATCCTTGTGTTTCAACTTGCCAGTTTTAATGTAATATTTAATGTTGATTGACATAAAGCTGAAGGTTATCGGATAGAAGAAAATGGTACAAGCACAAAGCCCTGCCCTATTTTACGATTAGCTAACTTGAAGTCTACTGACTGACTTTGGGAGCTGATAACAATAACTTACAAGACAAAGAAAAACCTGTGCTCAAATAGCTTGTTTTCCGTCACAGAAATGATAATGACAGAGAAATCAGGGAGAATGTCATTCAGTGCCTCTTGAATTTTTATCCTTAAAAATCCTTTCTGTTGACAGAGCTTATAAATCTTGAAGAGCTCTGGGAACAATGTTACATATTCAACCAGTGTCGCCATTACAACCAAGGAATTTAACATTTTCAGAATTTGTGCAATAGTTAATAACTAATGGTTAATTAGTTATAACTAATGGCCTTTGATTAAGCATCCAATTTTATAAATTTCCAAAATACTAATGTTTAAAGAAAAAAAAATGTCTGTCACTTCTCACACATTGGAGGTTTTCTGCTCATCTGGAAAAAATAGTGTGATATCTCACCAAAATTTGGACATTTTACTTTGCTTTTAGTGTCAGGATTAGGTTTTCAACTCGATTCTCACTGTATTGTTTGCAACCAAGACATATCAAGAACACAGTCTTTCCAATGAAGAGTGGTAAACAGGCAATGCTTCAGTTCTCAAGAAAGGCATTACTTACCTTGTGAAAGTTCCTGAAATATGCTGCCTTCTCATCTGGAAATTTTTCTAGTCTCCTAGGTCCTTTACTGGAAGCTTTCTTGAAAACCAACCAATAACGCCTGAAAATCTGCAAACAAAATCAATGGATTATATTAACTTTTATTTAAAGTTTTTATTTAGAAATTTTCTTTCAGTTCAAATGCATTTAGTTACATAATTGACCTAGGAATGAATTTTAAAATTACAGTATTTTATTTTAAAAGTATGGAAAATTCTGAGAATATCAATTATTTCTACACAAGTAATCCCAGTTGATCAATTTATACATATTGATTGTCAGTCCTTTGTAGGCTTTTTTGCTTCAACTTCTTTCATGTATGCCAAATTTGACAATTCCTGAAATGGAAATAAATCCATAAATTTTGAATATGAAAAGAATTATAAGGCTGTCATTAGAGAAAGTACTTTTGAAAATCACCACATGCATTTTTAGCTTTCACATTTATACTCTATTTCCATGAGAGTATCAATACCATTGAGAAACATTCATTGCAGCTTTTAACACAACACAGTAATCAGCAGTTAGCATAAGCTTGTATCCACAGGAAAGAAAACACAAGGTTGTAGTAAGCACCAATGTGATCATTACTGGACAACAACATTTAGTTCTCTCACTTGGGTCAATAACAAACTTGATAAGGAAAAACTATGCAAATTATTAAATTTGGGGAATATGTAGTAAAAAATAAAATCTTCCAGAAAACACAAATCAAAAGAATATTATCCTCTCATTTTAACGAGAAACACACTAGATTTTGCTTAAAATGCATTTTTAAGCAACAAGGGTACTTTAGTAGACTATTTAGAGAGCATTGTGATGGTATTGCCATAACCAGAAGTTTAAAATCAGGATTGAATTATCAAATAAGAATACATTTGCAGTTTAAAGAGAAACTGACCAAGGATAATCTTCTAGACTATATTATGCAAGTAAGGGATTAGATATTAATCTAGTTTTATAAACTAAGGAATAATTTGCTTCATTCTCCTCTTCAGTGCTTGCACAGATCTATAAACAATACCATGTAGATTTTTATGTTATTACTTCAAGAATACATTGAAAAACAAAAAAAAAAAAAACCAAACATGATACTAAATGGTTCCACTGTCTATGTGTGGAGAAAAGCCTTATTTCTTCAGAAGTTCTACAAAATTTAATGACACAATACAAGAAGTACAGCACTATTTAATTTGGAGCAAACACAACTCTGATTACAAAAAAAAAAAAAAAAAAAAAAAAAATCAAGGATGTATGAGCAGGGAAAGCTAAAATATGGAGTTTTCCCCTCAGCATGATGCTGTCTAAACTAAGTATAAGAAGCAAATATAGTGTCATTAAAACAATTAGCTTAATAACCATGCTCTGATGTAATAATACTGACACTATTTTGTTGCATTATGTCAGATGAATGTTATCAGTCAAAATAAGTGTTTTCTTCTAAAACCCTACCATTGGACTACATTATCAATCTGTTTAATTATTAAGACTTTTGGAAGAAAACACAACATTTAACAAAATCATCTGCAAGTATACTGCTTGCAAAGCATCCAAGTTTTACACTTTTTCTACTAAGGTTGTAAGGTGGGAACTGTACAACTGTACTTCCTATCTCAGAAATTATTTCACCTAACCTGGGGGGAAGCAAAGACAGTATTTCCTAAAAAAAATGACATTACACTGTGAGGCATCATAAATCATCTTTATTAGTTAGTACTTTCTTCAAATAACATCTTGGCAGGGTTGCAACTTACTTTACCAAAGCTACATCACTGCTCCCATGGTTATCTCTTGATTAACCCAAACTAACTCTTCACAATGTTATGGAGTGAAAAGCTCCACACACAGGCAGAGGATATCAATGCTATTTTGGCCTTACTAAAAGCAACAGCACCAACTGTCCAAAGGGGCCATATTTATTCATTTAATAAAAGTGTCACTTTTAATAATACTCCTGGCTCTTCTTGGATCTGGGTATTTTTTTAGTCTATGTACATTTTCAGTTCATCTCTCTCCCTCTGAAGAAAGTCTTTTCCTAAGAAACTTTTTATCAAGATAAAAACCATCGCCTTAATTTCAAATCTTTTATTGATTTCCTTATTTTCTTATCTGCCCTTAATGGTTTACAGTCTTCAAAGACTTCTCTTCAGAAAAATAGATTAACCTACAGGCCCCATCATCAGTGGCAGTGTGTTTTAGCACTGCCACAGGATCCACACTTTAGAGATGACCTGAATTTTGGACAGCTGTTAATTCACTGAAAAGTTTTTTGAAGTTTGGGGCTTTTTTTTAGTCTTTTTTTTCTTTTTATTTTCTTTTTTTAAATATATATGCACAGTCATATTTTGTTACATTGCAAAGTATCAGTTAGATCCAATACATCAGAATTATCCCCAAAACTGGAAAACTAGAGAAGCAAAGTCAAGGAGTCAGTTTACTCCCTGTGAGGATGAGAACATTTTCCAGATAAAAGATCATCTAATGCATACTCCAAACCAATTCCTTCAGTGACAAACAAACAGGGTCTCCTGAATGGCAACTTTAGTCTTTTTTTTCACTGGATATCAATCTGGGACAGTGTCGAAGAGAGTTTGAAAGTCTGCAGCTAAAGTGACAAAATTCAAGAGGGAGGCTTTGACCCCCTTATTAGTGGGGACTTCAAAGTATCCATCAAAGAGGGCTAGATGCTAGTTTGTAAGGATGGTCCTTATTATGCCTTTTCCCAAATTTCAGCACTGGGATGAGTTCAAAGACTTCAGCACACAGACTGCGGGAATGAACAGGCCTTGCTTTTAAAGAAGAACACTGAAGAGTGAGAGGAGGGAACCGTAAGTTTTAGCTTTAGTCTGTTACTGCTTCAATTTATTGACATCTGTTTTTTCATGACCTTTAGGGAGAGAAGAGATCTGAAGAATGGAATGGCTCGAAGAGGACTCTTGCTATGCTATATACATATACATCCTTGCATTTAGATTTTTACTTTTTTTTTAACCTACTTTTAAAGCTAATATAAACATATACACTTCCACTGCATTTCAGCAGCATTTTCCTTATTACACCAACAGACAGTTTGTATTTCAGTCTTTGAAAAATCATTAGCATATGAATTTACCTATAAATATGAATAAATAGGTGCAGATGTGAGCATACAGCAAACAAACATTTGCCTTTCATAAGGCACCTCATTGTTATACAGAAGCCTACTCAATTATTCACGAACTGTGAGATACTCTTTTATCCCTGGCCTACTTTGGGATGGCATTGGCTGTAATCAAAACTTCTGAAAGACTTCTAAAAGTCCTCAGGTATTGGGGTAGCCATTGTGAAAGAAATCAGTATCAGCCCTTTAACAACAGAGAGAATGAGAAATGCTCACAGTGTTGTCTCCATCATATTTAGTATTTCCTGTGAGATTTAAGTGTCTGGTTTTTGCACATGCATAGTTGAAGAAACGCCAAATATCTGATCATTTAATCAGTTTTACAGGATTCTTGGATAAGCATTCACTGTTGAGCGAGTATGATTTAAAAAATTTGTATCGAGGGCAAACAACATAAAGCCTAATTCTGTGCCATTATTTTTTTTCTGGAGAAATTCAGAAAGATAGAAATAAGCATGTGCTATGTTTAGGTTTCCTTTTATTAAAGTACCAATTAGAAGGACCAAAACTTGTTCAGTACAAACTTGAGAAAGATTCTATCAAAATTGCCTACTGAGACCATGGCATAGCAGAGCTTCTTTAAACAACACCCTTCCTCTTGTAGTTTTAAAAGATGGACAGAGCAGAAAAAACGTATTCCGCTAGATCCCACTACCTGTGCAAGTATATATCAGTAAGCAATGGCAGTACCTCAGCACACTTGTGGTCTGGTGAGAGCTGATTCAGCTGCCCCGTGCAATATCATATGTGAATGATTTTCATTACAATGTCCAAGCTTGCAGAGGAGAGCAGCCTCTGTTATTAACAACGGACTCTGCATAGCCTCATCTCATTAATGAGAGAAAAGGATTCCAGGCCTGAAAAAATATAACCTTATCTCCCTCAAAAGATTTCTGAAATTTTTCCAGTCAGAAATTCAACTTCCAATGCTGCTCTATTTCTATTAATATTTAGAAATCCCCTTTTAATATTTTATTTGAAACACTGCATTTGATCAATTCATGATAAAAATCTCTGCATAATCTTATTTATTTTTACATTTTCTTCTACTTAATTCATATCTCAGCTCACCTTTCCAGCATGTTTGTATTTTTTAATGTTCTTGACTAATATATGCAAAAGTTTGGCCTCTGTATGTATCATCATTTTTCATGCTCATATCATACAGATTTGTTTTATTCTTGTTATGGTTGTTCATAATAAATCCATTAAAAGACATATTACATGAAATCCATTGGTTAAATTAGTTTTTTAGAGAGAAGAAAAACCTTTTCCTTTTCCTAAAATTATTTAAAATAATTGGTTTACAATGGGAATCTTATGCATGAATCTCCATTTTCAAGAGATTTCTAAGGCCTTTTCCTAGTCATTTACAATAGATATTTTTGAGAATAACATCTCTTTCTCTTTTTATCTACAGCTGTAGCTAATAAAGCTTTGCCAGTCATCACAAATATTTAGAGAAGGGATTGACAAGTCTGTAAAAATTTTTCCAGAAAATCTACCTCGCAGTCAAAAAAACAAAAACAAAAAAACCCTCCTCCATCTTTTTTTTTTTTTTTTAATTTTTAAATGGTGCCAAAAAAGAAAGCTGCAACATTATAAGCTTCTTTTTGAAACTGCTTAAGGTGATCTGAAATCCCCCTGCCCCTATCCAAAAGTGCACAAATGGAAATCACTTTCTTGGGCATACTGGAAAACCATCTAATTTTCTGCCACTAGCTGTAGAAACATTTGTCTCTTGAGAGAGCAGCAGTGAGTCAGCTCCTAGTTACTAACAGAAACCATCACTGACCAGGACGGGCACTGAAGCATCACTGATGGGGCTTTTTGCTAGCATAACCCATCAAATGGTTCTCCCAGGAAGACATCTACATAATAATATTCAATCCTGCATTTACATCTCATT